GTTACGTTGTTGTTTAACGGCGGTAGGGCCACGCAGCTGCCTCGGCTGTTGCACGAATGGGCAGGCCCGTCCGGATAAGTACCACGACCTCACAGAAGACCAGCGTAAAGTGGAAGTATGACAAATACTTTCGCGTTTCGTCTGGTGAGTGAGGTGGCCGGAGCCTAATTTTCAAAAGGTTGTCAACGCATCTGTAACCCTCGGTTGTGGCAGATGGCGGCAGTATTCACTTAACATCAGGTGAACCGTCTGCTCGTTTGACAACTTTTGGCATAAAAAAAAGGTTACGTTGTAATATAAACCTTTAAAGGCTAGTGATTAATATTAAAAATGCCAACTTGTCATACAATCGTGCAATGACCTTTCTATTTAAATAAATAATGGCTTAATACGTTTTAGCTATAAATTTCTAAACTTCAAAAATGACCCCACCAGGTCACAGTGTTTAAAACCGGTATCGTAACGTCCCTATGTTTATAACCGGCAACAATATGTCGGCACTAATAAATATCACTTGTCATAACTTCCCTGATCCTATTAGAAGCCGCTTCAAAACTAACGGGACGACTTCGATTCGTGAACTCGTATAATAGATGCTATTTTAAAGGAGCGTACAAAATCAATCAATTTTGTGAGACATTTGCAGTATGGCTGGATTGGTAAAGTTTAAAAAAATCAGCAAAATACGCTACCATAAAATGTAGTGTATTTATTATTGACAAACTCACCACATGTTTCCTGGAGCGACATGAGTATAGAACATAGGATTTTTTTTATTATTAAAGTCATAAGCTAATAAATATTAAAAATCTGGGTGTTAAATCTGATATAAGACGAAGTTCTAAAAATTTATTTTATATAAGTTATTGTTTATAGAATATTTAATAGAAGTTATTGTTTAAAATGTTTACACGGAACATTCTATCAAGTATGATTCTAATTATACATTATGTAACACGCTCTGCTATAATCCGTGGCAAAGGAAACAGTGAATTGAAAAACGTAGAGCCAAGGCCGTATTCTAGCAAAGATATAACCTCTAGAAGCTATACAACGCGCATTTTACGAGACGTGCAACCCCCGTAAGGAGTAAAGAGCACTGTAATATAAAGGAAGATCGTGTGCAGTGCGGTTGTGGAGCAAATTAATTCCTTGTCGTATTAGTCTCGCTTACAAATTTAAATTAAGCGGTTCCCTAATACGGGTGGGCGTGTATAGCAATATCGTAGTTCAGGAAGAGATTACCATACGCAAAATAATGTTCGCTCATGGAGCCTTGCGAGCAGATTATGACAGATTGAAATTAGCGGTCTAAATATATACTCGTACATATCTCTGATGACATTGTCAACTATTAATATCATAATATACGGAAAGCCCTGATTAATTCGACGTTGCCCCACGCGCGGACACAAAAATGCTAATTTATTATTTTTTTCAACCGACTCCAAAAAAGGAGGAGGTTCTCAATTCGACTCTATTTTTTTTAATGTTTGTTACCTCAAAACTTACAACTTATTGAACCGATGAATGATGGCTGTTGTTTTTTATTTGAAAGCTGGTGCTTCCCATGTGGTCCCATATTAATTTCGTTGGTATTGGACCTTGGGCTCCGGAGATACTTAGGGAAATCCTGAAAATCAATAATAAAATGAATGCAGAGCGAGATATTTGAAGTCGGTTTTGTTTTTAGTTAATAAAAAAATTTACTTGTTATGTGACAAGATGGCAAACGCACTGGCTGTTCACCTGATATTGAGTGATAACCGCCACCCATTCACATTTGCAATTGACCATAGGGTTGCAGATGCGTTGCCACCTTTTAATAAAATGAGCCCACATCCGCAGACGAAACGAAGAAGCTTAACACATCTATTCCACGCTGGTCTTCTGCGAGTAAGTACTACTCTGACAGACCTGCCCATTCGTGCAACAGAGAAGACTGTTGCGTGACCTTACCACAATTTAGAGTATTGAAACAAATATATGTAGTATAATAAATATATCACAGTGTAGGAAGACCCCTCCACTATATAGAGTGATGACCTGTTGAAAATTGCATAAGTCGATCGTTGTATGTGGCTCAGGAGCGTCGTCTTTGGGAGAGGTCAATGTCCAGCAATGGACGTAAACGAACAAAAACAAACAGAAGACTGAAATGATGTAAACGTACCGTATCCTATTTGCGTCTTTACACAAAAAATTTGCTGTTTATCTAGAAGCTCGTCTAGTTTACAGATAAATAGTAGAAAAAAAATGAAATAAATAACATAATATGTTTTCTTATTTGACGCGGACCATCAATCTTTACCTTTACTTTGAATAAAAGAAAAAGTGCGGAAAATTGACAGGTTGCTTTGAAAATTTTTAGATTTTGTTTTTCTCTCAAAAATTTAACAAGTTGTAAAAGCTGTACTAAATACGGAGTAACAAATTTTATGTAATTACATACGTGTGATAATTATGTATATTATATTATGATAATTCATGCGATAAGTATACATACATGCATTAAAATTTCTTGTTTTTCAATATTTTCGAGTTGAATTAATTTATTTTGTAACCGAAAACAAAAGTAACTAGAGGGTTATTGATCGTGGATGATTGTTCTGATTGATGATTGTTGTGTTGAGGATTTAAATTGTTCGTTGCTTTGAAAATTATAAAAATACTATAACGTTAAAATTAGAAGAATACTATGATGATGTTTATTTCTTTATAGTTTGCGGGAGCATAACCTACAATTAATAACGCCTTTTAAATAATAGTGTATTATGACAAACTGCACGTTGTTCGCCTTTTTAGATATTAAATGTAATCGGAACAAACGGTTTATTACTCTTTAAATATTTAACGTAATCTCTTTCTGAGTATGGTAATATGGTATTGCGGGTTTTTCGCGTACGATAAATCCTCCAAGCTTTGATGAAATATCCTATAATGCTTTATGCGCCTGCAATCTAATCAGGATTTACTTTTATACGTATATTATCCTTTAGATGCCTGTTAGTAGTTAATCTTTTATATAGTGGAGGTCTTAAAAGTTAGTTGATAGTCAGTTTTTATAAAACGATAATTAAGTTTATAATGAAATGCGAGATCATGATACTGTTTTAAAAAGAACACGCAAACGATGAATTACTGTAAATAAAATCACAAAAGTCCTTTCAAAATAATGTAACTGTTCTATGTTTTCACATACTTCTCGGCACGGCATTTCAAAAGTGCCTTAAAAATATTGAAACTGCTATTTTTTCACAAAACGACATGCTAAAAGACGACATGTTTGAAATCCCGAGCTACAGACTACCACAAAGAAGGAACAACGCAGAAAACTAGCAGTAAGCCTTTAGTGTCCAATAACCGCGTAAAGGAGAAATAAAATGCATCATATTTCAACAGCGCGTTGAAGCCAATGGCAGTTTCATATGCAGTGTTGTACATAAACGTTAGGCTCCACAATCAATTCTACGCTCGTAAAGCTTCCCAGTGCAGTTAGGCCAGCGCTTTCGTAGAAATTTATAGCCGCTGGAACATGAGAGCTGTAATACAATTTCGCGAGCACAAAAGCCTAATGTATTTATCAATATACGTTTTATTGACGCAAACTTTGGTTTGAAACTTTACCCGTACGGAGTTCGGGATTCATTAAAATTTAGAAACCCACGTCGCTTGACTGTTACGGGTTCGGCCCCATACAGAATGTGTTAGTAATTCATGTGGGCAAAATGGAACTTTATTGTTTTAGGACTGTTAAGGTCGTTCGGGCCGACTAATACCGAACTTGTCTGTCGCTTCGTTCGCATTTTATTAGGCAATATTCAGCGGACCCGCCACGATACCCTATTGCACAATACACATATCTAATATAATATTTTTGTTACTGGTTATAAGCCAGTATCATGAACGTATACACGGATATATTGTAACCCTGTTTATTTCCATGACGTTTGGTTAATCCGCCAACTTTTTATTCTTATGATTTTATCAGTTTTCCTTCTAGCTAAGTCACCGACATTATTCCTTCTTAACAAACTTAACAAATAGATCGACAAAACTTTACCGGATTTCGCCCCGTTCTGAAGTTTTGATGCCGGAATATCTGACATGATATACCTACTTAATATATTTTTCAAAATAATTACTTAAAAAATTTTTGGGGTAATATTCGAGTTTATTCGCTAGGAGATTTTTATGGGGCCTAATGTTTATAACTTAAATTTTTCGCTGACTTTGACTTTGGTGGATGATCACAAGCGTTTTTCAAAATGAGTTGTTCGATGAACATAAGGACTGTCACATTAAGAGGTCGAATTTGAGCTTTTACAACGAAGAAGATCAGAATCGTATAAATTACCTACATAAGCTGTGTAAGGACCTCTATTTTTAGATGCTACCTGCGAAGGGAACCTATCCCGGCTAATAACCTTTTGAAGTTTCTCTCATACAAAGGTGGTATTATTGGCTCTTTTCTATTATATACGTTTCTATACAAAATTCAACAACGCGCCGAATTTATATCAGTCAAGGTAACATTGTTGTTTAGTGCTGCGTCACGCGCTGATATTGCATGTCTTAAAAGTAACATGTATCGCCTTTTAAACGCGATAAAAGTCTCATAATCTCTAACGTAGCTTGTAAAGAGGTAAATAATTCTTTTGAAAAAAAGATTATTTTCCAATATTGTTTAAATACTATGTAGTTACATTATTTTCTCAGTTTTGTATTAACCATTGTGCTTAGACCGTGAATACTCGTAAACGTTTCTTCTTCTACATTTTTGACGTCATTCTAACAATGAAAAGTGAAAGCACTTCGTGCCCTCCGCGTATTCAAATACGGCTAATTGCCTACTTTCTTTATTTATATCTATCTATGTACATAAAGAATAAAGACGTATAATAATTGTTTAAGTCTATTTAATACCAACAACAAAATTCTCATAAAAAATCAATTCTGTTAAGAACATTAGTGAGCCAGCTGCTATAACATCAGTGGCTATGCTTCTTAATGTAGAATCCGCCCACCCCCGCCCCCCCCCCCCCCACCCCCCCCACCCCCCCCCCCCCCCCCCCCCCCCCCCACCCACCCCAACCCACCCCCCCCCCACCCCCCCCCACCCCCACGCCCGTGCCCCGTGTCCCTTCCCCCCCCCCCCCGCCCCCCCCCCCCCCCCCCCCCCCCCCCCCCCCCCCCCCCACCCCCCCCCCCCCCCCACCCCCCCCCCCCCCCCCCCCCCCCCCCCCCCCCCCCCCCCCCCCCCCCCCCCCCCCCCCCCCCCCCCACCCCCCCCCCCCCCCCCCCCCCCCCCCCCCCCCCCCCTCTCCCCCCCCCCCCCCCCCCCCCCCCCCCCCCCCCTCCGCCCCCTCCCCACCCACCCCCCCCACCCCCCCCCCCCAGCCCCCCCCCCACACGCCCCCCCCCCCAACACCCCCCCCACCCACCCACCCCGCCCTCCCCCCCCCCACCCCCCACCCCCCCCCCCCCCCCTCCCCCCCCCCCCCCCCCCCCCCCCCCCGCCACCCCCCCCCAGCCACCGCCCAACCACACCCCCCTCCTAGTAATATGTATACAAAATCACCTATTCGTGCTTTCTCTCTCCGAGTGTCTCCTACGTCATGAAAATGTAGATTCGATTCTGTACGCGTATCTCGAAATTGGCAATTTGGATTTAAGTGCACGGGGTTTATCTCGTACAAATTCATCGTGAAGATCGTACGGATTTTCGCCGAATTTCAAATTATATTTAGGAATATCCCTTTTTGCAATCAAGTTCGCGAAGATCGCTTTGTAAGCCCTAATACGATTGACTCGTACCGGAACTTGAGAAACGACAAATAGCCATATTTGATTTAATATATTTTTTTGCTTTTACATGGTGATTTCTCAGCACAAGTTGCTTTGCAGCATAACTCTTGAACAGCCGTCGAGGAAACTTATACGATTCGTAATATAGTCAATTATTTTTATGTAACACACTTGTTATAATCCAAGGCAAAGGAAACAGTGAATGGAAATGAGTAGAGCCAATATATGTTTAAATTCATTATGTGCTTCTTCCATACTCCTTCATTACTATATATTACATTATGTACTCCTTCAGTATATTATTCATAAATCCGTTTGCGAAGTCTGAAAACAAGAGGTAACTATTGAAATGTATTTGAACGTCGGATGTAATTTCGAAGATACTCTGCCAATCTGCGCTGGCGTGGTGGACTATGCCCTAATACCCTTTATACGGAGGTGGCCTTTGCCCAGCAGTGGCACATATATAGGCTGTTATTTCCTTTACTTTACTTTTTTACCTAACACCCCCACAGATCTACCAAATGTCTGTACGTAAAACAAATACTTACGGGGCTGAGAATTGAGACCCGCGGGGCCAAAGTCAATAGCTTAGGAACTGCTGCAAGCGAAGAGTTAATGTGAAAAATGTGAAGTGAGATCAGCTAGACATATCAGCAAGAGATTACACTAACCATCCTAGTGTGTATCGTTCGATGTAAAAGACTACAGAGCATGAAATCACCAAACTCCTAAGGCTATATAAACCGCTCCGAACTCGTACAAAATTCAGATAATACCGTTCCCAGCAGCGGCATCTTTGTGAACGGTAATCCAGGCACTTTCTACTTGAAATTTATACATCCATTCTGCTCCATCCTTGTAATAATCAATAATGGTCTGATACTCGCTATAAACACACGAAATGCATTTCTCTTGAGGCACCATAATTTTATTTGCTTATTTAATCTTAATTAGATACTCGCAAAGAAAAGAACACAAAAGGGGACTGAATGCTTTTATACATTCTCTACTAGTCAACTTGTAACGTGATGATGATACTTTGATGACACTAGTGATACCATAAATATAAATATGTACCTAAATACATACAAGCAATCCTCCATACGAACATATATATATATATATACATTATAAAATAAAAAATAAAATTTGAAATTCGATTGGAAAAATAACGATTGAATTGCCCTTAGATTTTTGGAAAAATAGTCCAGTTATATTATAGTAGAATATGTTCCCAATATTGTAAATAATTCAGTGGCCGAGCAGTCGCTTATAATTCAATATACTCAAGCAACCTGAGTCTGATCCAAATTCTTTTGCCAACATCAATGAAATTGTTAAGTTAAAGTGCTGACGTATCACGGTCTCAGCGGTTTAGAATTACATTGTAAGCAAATGTTTTTGAAATAATGACAAAAAAAAATTAGAAGATGTGAAGTCCGCCAATCGGCAGTGGAGTCGTGTGGATCTTAATACCGTCTGTACAGAGTAGGCTTTTGCCCAATTTATACGTTAAAATATTTCATAAATGTATTATGTACCATACTAAAAAAAATTGCGTGATATAAATAAATTCACTGAATAACAGAAGACGTTGCTTTAGTACAGCTAGAATATCTCGTGTTTCTATAAAAACAGTATGCAGTCCAATTAAGTAGCAGTGGAGGAACGGCAAAATATTTCTCTGTGTACACTTTTTTCTCGAATGTTCTTTGTGCTATTTGCTTCTTTGCTACTTTCAACTTGGTTCTTTTTCCGCGGTATTTGATAAACATACAGAGTTAAATTTTATATTCCATGTTCGCGCACTATATACAATATATCTGTAACAGTGCCATCGTCTCCTTTATTAACACTTAGATTGCTGCATGTGTTAGTGTCATTCTGGTCAATTGGTAATAATCAAATATTTCTGTGTCATGTAAAAACAAGCATTTCCTACTTGCCTAGAGGATTTATCAGTACTTTTGGGGCCTGAATTCCATACAAGAGGTTGTCTCTTCTGGGAACCGAATCCCAAACCAGCGTGCCGAGCCTTGCGAAGATTTTCTTTAAGTGATAATGTGCAAACTGATCTGGCGGTTCATATGATATTAATTGATACCACCGCCATGGAGGACATTTGCAACGCTCGCAGTTGCGTTGCCACTTTTAATAAAGTGAGCCCCGGCTACTTCTCTCACCAGACGAAACGCAGAAGCATAAACACTTCCACTTCACGGCTGAAGCTTTAATAGTCTCGGGACTGAAAGCAAAAACATCAGTTAATACAAGATACAAGATACAAGAAGACTTCACGGCGGATTCTGTACGTCGTGGTGCTCCCCTGGACGGACCTGCCCATTCGTACCACAGCGAACTGTTGCGTGGCCCTACTACAGTTCCAATTTGATTAAATTAAATAACGCTTGACCTTGCTAATTTGCCACACCAGAATAATTGTAATATTGCTGGTCTTTAAGATATAGGCTCTCTTCTAGTGTGTGAAGTGTTTTCGCAGGCTATGTAATTGAAATTTCGCTCAATAATTTGTTTATCTCAAAGTTTAAAACAATCCGTTTACCCTATTCGGAAGATAAGCGAGGCAAAAAGGCGTCGGCTAAAACACAATGCTTTAGAGAAAACCTCAGTGGCAATGTATTAAGCGCGTGCTGCTCTTTTTACGTATAAATCACAGTTTTTGTTCACTTATTGTGTAGCTACGAGCCACAAGAGGGCAACTATGTAGAAAATTTCTTTTGCGTTACTTTGTGTTGCCTCGGCGCAGAGATAGCAATTTGTTATCAAAAAGTCGTTCTTGCAGGGATCGTGGAGGGTTTTTCGTATATAGCTTTAATGGTTACATCGATAGTCTCCTATTCAAACTTTTCTAATATTTGCGTTTTATTGGGTCTTATTATTAGACTGCAATATGAATAGACGATTTTGTAGTCTTATATTTGATATTTGTCTTACTTTTCAACTTAAATATACAATGGAAAACTAAGATGTCATATTGTTAAACCGTTCAAGACGACTACGTATACTTGTACTGTCTGAATTTGTTACAAGGCATTCTGCATTGACCATTTAACGCTCCAGCATTAAACGACCTGTTAAAAATAGAACTGCACGTGCACATGAGAACAGTTAACCGCCCAACAAAAGCCAGTTTTAAACGCAAAATGGTTACGCCTTACCTGCGCAATAACCGGTCTTGCCATTCTAACCGTAATTAATGAAAACGTGCATGCTAATTCCTTTATTGTGCTAACATTAGTGTATCTTAATAAAACGTTTAACTGGTGCAATTAGCTTCATTAGGTAAGCGTTGGTTAGTTTTTGTACGGTTTAAGCGATTATTTCAAAATTTACAGTATTACTTTTGAGGACCTTAATACGAGGAAATTCAGTCATCGTAGTATAGGTACATAGGGTTTTTGTTTGTTGTTAAAAGAATTTATTTACTCGATTGTTAAGGATCAAAGGGAAAAAAAAATCTTATAACCAAAACCAAAATGTAGCAGTAACCACCCAGTATCATATGGGAATAAACTTTTGTTTAACCCGATCTTGTAACAATATGAATACCAAAAATGATTTCAATTTTAATTTTCATATTGTTACATATTGATATCTCCGTGGCGCAGCTTCCAAGGTATTGGTTTTGGCGTCGGAAGTCGTGGGTTCGATCCCCACACGGGACAACTATTTGTGTTACCCACATATAATTGGTTCGTATCTGGATGTTTGTCCACGTTAAATTTATGTTTGTAAAACGTCCTTACAACACACGATAATATTATCCTTCTATTCATTTATACATATATATATTTATATATCCATTAATTTTTTTGATCATATAAACCAATGGAGGATTATTAACACATGAATTAAGTAATTGATAATGCTTTCAAGGTGATTTCTTTGATCCGGCGATGTCGCCCACACTTGCACATCGCCGGATTAACTGGTTGAGCAGTTTGGAATCTCCAATAGTAAATTGAACTAGAGATTGCATCTAGTTGTTGTGAATGTCGTTGAAGAAATTAAAAAGAAGTTAGAAAAATCTTTTATTATTTTTTGTTCTTTGTTAAATCGTAAAGTCTAGGACCCGTGGTAACTTAGCGTCTTGGCGCTCACTTAGAATTTTAGTACATATACAATATGGGTTTGATTATATTAAAATACAATATGTTCGAACAACAGGAATCCAGATCCCGGCGCCGGTACTAGTGTAATTATTAACAGCAATTTTAAACATTTATTTACCACGCGATTTTTCACCAAAAAGTGTCCAGTGCTTCACTACTCTCGTCTGTTGGTAGGTAAGATGTAATCTTAGATGGTAAATGGAGTAGCGCAGTAACAGCCTATCCTTGCCTTGAAGACAAATGTTAATCGGAGGGAAAAACTGAAGCTGGTTAACTGTTCCTCTCCTTCCTTCACGGCGTCGATAGAGAGATGAATATAACGAAAGATATCTTAAAATAACTGGCTTCGTGAGCAGCCTATACCCGAACATATCCCTTTTCAGCGGAGCTAGATAAAAAATAAAAAAAGTTTGAAATCCGACTTTCACAAACATTTCCGCGAAAGTAAGGTTCATTACAACTTTCATTCTAAACAAGAACGGAACAAACAAAGAGCATCCGACAGAAATGAAGCCTCTAGGCAATCTTCCTATTAGCAGAAGTAATTTTGAGGTAATAAAAGAAAATCCTCTTCAAAAATGATGTTACACTTTTCTTGTTTGTTTCGAGTTCTGAAGATGTATTAACTGGATACGAACTTTCATTATTTCGTACATTCCTTTAGTTCATATACCAACAGGCACCGGAATGTCTGATGACAATGTTATTATTATTTATGTGAGACACTTTACTTCCTCAACCTTGAAATTTCCAAGAGGATATAAAAATTAGAAATACCATCCCAAATTTTACTGTCTTGTTTTTTTATTAATGTGAGAAAGATTCAAACAAGCTGTCGGTTCACCTGATTTTAAGTGATAAACGCCACATAGGATATTTGCAACACCCGTAGGGTTGCAAATGCGTTGCCACCTATAAATAAAGTGGGGGGCCCATACTACCTCACTCACCAGATGAAACGCAGAAGTTTAACACATACTTAACGCCGGCCTTCTATGAGGTATTGGTACTTACCCGGACGGACCTGCCCATTCTGTCAACAGTGAACACTGTTGAGTGGTCCTACCACAGTTGTGTTTTGTATATTCTCACTTCCGATCCGCATAACAAATTCTTAAACAACAAAGTATCTTGTGATCTTCGCACAAATCAGCATAAACTTCAGGTAATATAAAGTAAGTCAATTCAGTCAATCTCGCAATCATTGTTAGGTGGTAAAAGCGTAACGTCAACCTCTATCCAGGTTATGATTCAATTATTTAATTCCAAAGTTTATAAATCAATTAATCAATTAACTCTTAAACATCGAACCTCAAAGGTCCGTAGGTATCATATCTACTGACCCCACATAACAGCTGATGGCGACCACCGTGGGGTTTTAGTCGGTGCCAGTTCGACATTACCTTACTTCCCCATAAGGGCCAGATACCCATAACGGATTTCCCCACAAAAAAAGTTATCATATCTACCGACAAGCACATTCTAAATCAACACAATATCAACGATTTGAACCTAACCTAGATTAAACTTCAAGTATACTGAACTGAAAGCGAGTATAAATCACTTATACTGTATTAAAAGCAAGAAAATACATGAGCTATATGCTAGGTACAGATAGAACTTAATTAAATAAAATAATTAGAAAAGTTTCAATTTTCTAAGCGAAGTTAATAGTAGCTAGGCTTGGCTTAAGAGCCAAGGGGTTGTATAAGTACAATCGTAGTAAAAAATGGCTGGGGGCACCAGATGCATTTTTGAAAATTGTGTTTTGCGCTCTACACCCATTTTAAATTAAACCGAGATAAATTCCTAAAATGTACGTAATGAGAGCAATTTGTACTCTGCAACACATTAAAAACCGAGCATCCTGTACCTACTACTTTGTAGTGCTCTTTGTTCCTGGCGGAGGGAGAGCGACTCATAAAATGCACGCTGTACCGCTCAGTGAAGCTATCTATACGCCATTACGTACTCCGCATCCCTCGAGTATATATTTCTACTGGTATTTCTATTTCTAGCAATTTTTAAATCAATTCACCGGCAATTTTCTTCATCTTTTCAGTACATCATAAGTTGCTTCGCGGTGATACAGTATGATCGATATTACAATTTCGTTCGTTTCTTACTAATGCACATTGTTTTTATATTTTACTTATTTTTTTCTATTTAGATACAGTATGTCACATAATAGTTTATTTATTAAAGAAAAAAAATTGAATATGTATGAAGGGAGCGGCTCGATACCACTGCTTCACAGATACAAGAAAAGTAGATTTTTTATGTTTGCATTCCTGTCAGGAGTGCTGTAAGAGTTAAATCCATTTTTTATAAGTTAGCAACGTTTCTAAAAACCTATGCTATTGATCACGTAACATCAAATGCTCGTTTTCCTCCAGCTCGAATAATGTTGCTATTTTTTGGCTTTACATAGAACGTATATACGAATAAAACAATTTTTTTCATCCGTGTTTTTCGAATCTTACTAACTAGACGAAATTACGATCTCTTCTGATTTAGAGTGCATATAAATTTAAAATGAATTCTTTTATCTTTTTTCTACTTTTATTGTTTTCTCATACATAATTTACATAAAAGATATAGCTAGGTTTTATTATTAATTCTTATGTTAAATTTTATTTTTGTATTACTTTTAGAGATCGTAAATGTTGTGTATACTTATAATTGGCATAAATATAAGAACCAAATCTGTAATTAAAAACATATGTATATATAAATGTAAGTATATGTTATGCTGTTGGTGTACCTTAATAAATAAATAAATAAATAAACTAGACTTACATAATTTGTAGGGGAGAAAAGCTACACCGCGTAATACGAATTTAGGATTTGTCATTGGTAAATCCTACTTTATGTTAATTAATGTATTTTTAATTGAGTCATAACAGTTTCTTGGGAGTTATTTATATATATTTATAACATAAGAATAAATAATGATCAAAATAAACCTTCTCACTGACATATCAGGTTATTTACCCGATGCCTTATCACATTAGATATCCTGTACCTAAGAAGAAATAAAAGCGTGAATATTTTCAGACTACAACTGTTTCGTGTTAAATTATTATTGCGCTTCAACACTAACGCGATATAAGCTGCCCGTAAAATGCAAGCTCTACAGCTTCGTAGAGTAATATCTTCGCAATAACGTGCTCCTTATACCTGAAATTTATATCTAATCTGGCATTTAGTTACCCTACCAATCAGGCCATGTTAATTTGTTTGGTTTTGTGCGTTTTAATTCGAGGATAGACCCTAATTCATACTCCCGAGCGGACAAGTAGAGTACTCTGTATGTACCTCATGGATAGCACTCAATATGGCACCTAATGGAACATGTAAATGGATATGGACATCAAATAATACTTAACTAACTTAAAATTAAGTTGGAGCAGTTACATAAACCGTCATTGCTTTACCGAAGTAACAATGATGCAAAAAAGTATAGTGCAAGCCAATAAGATTTGTATAGGATTAAATCACCATCAGATCTACCATATAAACAGTTTCAATACAATTGACACAATAAAGATGATTTAAAACCCCTTTACAAACGAATGTACTAATTTAAAATCTTCTGGTTGAGGACTACTACGGAGACTGCTACGGACTCTGGTACGAAGTTCGGTTTAATTTTAATATTCCGCTAATAATAAAAGCAGTGATCTATTCCACGTCCAATTATCAGTAAGCAAAAAGCTAATACCTCGGTGTTCCTAGGTTAGAAATATTGTTGGATGCCATCGTCCGGTTCATTTTATTTTTCTTCTTTTCACTTGCATTGCATAGCTTCTATGGGCTGACAAAAAAAAGTGGATGGACTGTAAAATCAATATAGTGATTCCTTGGATTTACACGAATACAACCTTATTTCATAATTAATTGGAATTAATTTTAGGGGTTTCATGTTTCATTTAAATTCCAATTTAAAACGATGAATGGCGTCGTACCCGGAAATGCTACAAAGTAATCGAAACGTCGGAAATTTTAATTTATATTAAAGCGATAAAACTCCTAAAAGTGTTTCATTTGGGGATAAAATTAAATATTTGCTTTTGCGGGATAAACATTACATCAGGGATTATTTCGGAGTAAAAATTAAAACTCCATTCCGAATTTCATTCAAATCCGCTCTAATGTTTCGGGGAACGAACACACTTAGCTTAAAAGAATATCGAGCGGTAAGGTCCATCTTATATTTAGTGATGACCACATCTCCTGGATTTCTAAACTATGCTATGTAGAGATTGCATTGCTCACACATCAAACAAAATACAAAAGGAATAAGAAAGAATTTGTATAATGAACATTTATATATATTTTCATTTAATTTTAATATTATATAAAATAATACATTGACATACATAAATTTATTGACGTTTTGTTACCGAATTTTGTTAAAAAACTATAAATGATTTATTTGATCTTAAAATAATAGCACTATAAAAATTAATAATTTTGTTATATAGTATATACAGCTTGTCGTTACCATCGCGACAATAAATGAACACACGAACGCTACTTGCCAATAATCATAAAAAAATATCAACGTTAAAAAAAATCCATAATTAAAAAAAAATATTTTTCAAACAAACTAATTAATTAAAAAAGAAACAAAATTTGTAACATCCTATACAACTCCCGCCACAGCTTCGCATTACAAGCCTCTCCTTCTAACAGTATGTTTTGTCTCTATTAAATTCATTCAACCCATTCATATGCTTTGTGACCTTTACAAATGAACTTTACGTTACAGTTTTACATGTAAGGGTGTTCTAAACTTCTTTGTTTTGGAAAATTTAATAACTCTGTAAATATTGATGTTTAAAGAATGTAAATGTTTAATACAATTTTAAAAAGTTATCCTCTATATGTGTGTTCATTTATTGTCGCGATGGTAAAGACACGCTGTATATACAAAAATATAATGATTATTAAAAAAAAATATTCAACTCCTTTACGTTCCAATCCGGTGCTAAGTCGCGATACTTCCCCTAAAAAGCGATCGAGTTTTGTATCTCCCTGTATCTTATATTAAATAAACGTTTTCAGTCCGGAGACTATGTAAAGCATCATATATAATATACCTAACTCGTGGAAAAGTTCGTTTCCGCGGGTTCCTTATAACAACAAAAACTGCTACACAGCTGTACCAGTAACAGGCCAAGAACATAGTCAGAAACTGTGGTTATAATTTGCTTCTCTTGTTGCAGGAACAATCGCACAAGTCGTACCGTCCGCTGACAGTGCTAACCTTCAGATGGAACTACGCTATACACGGCCTGCAACCCGCCGGGTACCACCTCGTCAATGTGCTTTTGCATGCTCTGGTATCATTACTCTACTACAGGTAAGCGCACTTATAAAAGTATTCTGTAGAAACATATTCATCTGACATCGACAAAGTTAAAAAATAAATACACATAAAACTGAAACACACATAGGTTTCTATGAATATAACAGGTCTCTTTGCAATCGTAGGTGGCTAAGGAATAATAAATAAAAAGTATATCAGTAAACATTTTTACGCAACGTTATCTAGTCCCAAAATAAGCAGAGCTTTTGCTATGGGTACGACGTGATCTAAAAACTTACTTAAACATACTTTTCTTTTGTAAAAATAATACAAATGTAGATATATAAACACCCAGGCAGTAGATGAACACTATGCTAATCATACAATATTTTACCGCTAGTGGGGATCGAACCCACACCCACACTTTGACATAAACTACAAGTTCACTATCCACTACGGAAGTCGGAGTCAAATATCGAATTTTTGATAGTCAGTGCAGGAACTTATTTTATCTTTGTCATTAATACCGCAGAAGTACCGCTGTTAAAGCTGAGATGAGAAATATTTTTTTTTTGTTTTCCGTCTATCGTTACCGTAACTTCAAAAATAAATTAAACCTCTTACTTCGCCATTTTATCTCAACAGTATTCTCATAGTGTTGGCAGTCAAACTCATTTCCGCGCTGCCATCAAAACGACAGTGCCTTTAAAAAATCAATGTCTGGTTACAACATAAAAGAGGATTAAAGAAGCGATGGAAATCTTAATTTGAAGAGAAAATCACCTTGTAGGCATTAACCGTGCCGGGGTGCTCCTCTTTAATATTCCGAATTTAATAATCGAGATGATGGATCAAAAAGAATTTCCAATTTATTTTCTCAAATCTGACTTCGCTAAAAATGTCACAGTTATTTTACGGTCAGTAAAATATATCTATTTCATAAAGATTTATTTGAAATTTATAGCGATTATAATGATTAAGTTATTCGGAAAATTTTATGATGGTTTACAGAGTCGAGGATTAAAATTTTATGCCACAATCTTTTAATTATATCACAAGTTAAGTACATATATAAATTAAGTGAGAAAGACTCAATTTATTACAAAATTTTATTTCGTAGGCACTCGGCCCTTAACCAAAAAAAATAAATTTCACTTTAATTAAATTTTATATAAATAAAAACTATGTTGTAGAGCAGTGGGGCAAACGATGTAGTTAACCACTACAATATAACAAACAAAGCAAACGAAGTCGTGTTGAAGACGCTATCATCTAGTTCGATATACAATTTAAATTAAAAAAGTGGATATAATCTGATACTAACAGGTTCTAGAAGCGTTTTGTAACCGAATAAAATTCTTTGCTTTTTCGAAAAAAATTAGTCAAGCCTACATGCATCTTCAAACTTATTTACACAGGGTGGAGACAGAGATTTTCTTTTAATTGATACCACACATTGGTTACAACATGGCTGGACTTCACAAAAGGCAAAGCACTCAATAGTTTAGGCATAGGATAATTTCATCAATTAAAATGTTTTTTAACATGATATAAATGTGTTGGAGAGTTAAAACATCTAAATAGTACGAAAATAATACTAAACGTTGCCATTTCACTGGCCCATTCATTAAAACTAAATCAATTGTTTACCTAAGTTGATATCGAGTCACCGCGGCCGACTCTATCAATGAAATTACGTCCCGATGAGACTTTGCTGCTCTTAAGGACAGAAAACAAATTGTGTTCCAACTTTCTTATGAACATAATGTTACTAGTTACTTTGTTTAAAAAATATTTTATTGATTTTGAGGCAAATTAATTATTTCAGGAGTTCAAAGTATTTATTGGAACTATTAGAAGCCGTGACTTTGGTTAGACTTTTTTCATCTTTCTGTGATAAGGTGGCAAGCGAGATGGCGGGTCACCTGATGTTAATCGATAACCGCCGCCCCTGGATATTTGAAACACCCGTAAGTTTGCAGATGCGTTGCCACCCTTTAATCGAATGGGCCTCGGCTACCTCACTCACCACCATCTATCTTTTCTCATCGTATGCTCTGCATAAATGTCAGTATTCTCGTGCGCTTTTCAAATTCCTGAACTGTCTCCCGTCTCTACGCTCATCACAGCGTTTATTTTACGCTCTCGAATTTGGTCGGTTTTAATCAAGCCTACGTCCGCCAAATTCGCTCGGTCACGGCTAATTACTGATACTTTCCGCACCCCCGGTATTTCGAATCTGGTCAAATATCTAATCAGCTTATTTAATCCGTATGAAGATTTTTATCGCTTTTTGATAATTCACCGCTAAATACTTTCATGGAGAGTTTCAGATCACCAGACTTCAGATCACATTGATATCACGCAGGTACTAGATAATGTACGCGAACATATCGAAAAATTGGAAAACTTGGTACTTTATAAAAAAAGACCTTAACTGTTGATCGGATAAAATGGGTAATTAAAAGCTGGGAGTTGCCCAGATTTACAATAACATTTGGAAGTAAAACATCTCAATTTGTACCAAGAGCATGGATTCTATAAATGGTTCCAAGCACTCGGAATTAAAATTCAAAATTAAATTGATAAAGGCTGTAAATGAATATGTTAACAATGCGTAGCATTCATTCTTCTAAGCATATGCGCAATTCGTTCACAATAAGTTTTACGGCGTTGTAGTCGAAGTGGAATGTATATATACATTATATTAATTAAATAGGCTTTATTACTCACGAAGCACATAAGTTACTGAGTAAATAAACTGATTTTTGATCATACTACTTAGACGATCTGACGTTAGGAGAATTCGGCAACAATTCATTCTATTCAGTATCATTACTTTTCTCCATATTCGATGGGGGAAAATTTTATCGTTCAAAAGTTGTAATGTTGTTTGAGCGAATACCAATCGCGACCGGGAAGCACGTAGTGCCCCTGGCGTTGCCGTCCGGTATTTATTACAGGGGAATTTCAACTGCCAACTTATAATGGAGTTAGTGTTAAATTCACTGGCGGCTGTCCCGTGCATCCCAAAACAGTGCATCGACATTCTAAAATCCTATTTTGGGCTCAACAGAACCCAACAAATATTTACAAAATTTGTATCGGATCATTGTTGAATGTATGTAACCTACTCTGTTCCTAGCGATGAAGGAAATCATCGCAAGGAAACCTGCATATTTTCGAAATAATATAAAAAAGTCCGCCAATCCGCAGTGTTTTTTTTAATTTATATATAAAATTTTATGCTTTCTCTAAATCAATAGCTAAAGATAAACAAACGGGTTTTATCATCAGACATTTTATTTTGACTCTCGTAGAACACTTAGGGTAGTTTGTTAATTAGCACTTCGCAGGTATTGACTTATATGTTTAGTACCTTATATACATATGAGTATGAATAATGTTAGGCTTTAGAATTTATGTTGTATCCAGCAACCATCACATACACATCTATGAAAATATTTTACTGTACCTATGTAGAGATAGAATAATAGAAATTATGTTTAATCTGCATTAGTAATATGATTTCATAAAACTTTCTCAGTGCTTTCTAAAAAGTTTACCAGCGCTTCAACTGCAGCGTCGTATGACGCTAAAGTTTTGTAGCGAGTTTCACCGTCCATTAATCTTAATTTTGCGTTGCCACGGTAACGGAAGCTTCAATTTTGGCTCGTAGTGACTGTACCGCGTATTAAAAAGTAACCTTGGCTTTACTTTAAAGTTTCAACTGTTATTTTCTCCAACATGGCTCGTAATTGGGACCCTGAAAAACGTACAAAAAACAAAAAACTATAAACATATAAGATGTACTGTACACAAAACTAGATGACGTCTAGTTTTGTGTCCAGTTGTACCAGTTGTACCGGCCAGGCGGCTGGTCGTAATGAACCTAATGATACCACTTACAACATGATTCACATGTCCTGCCAACCCCATCGAGGCGGGATGAGGCGAAGAGAACGAAGAGAACTGTAATAAAGTCTACATTCCACGTGTCACTACATAACGGCCGAGCTTCGCGTACAACATTTCAGTTATAGACTTTTCCTCATTAATTATAGAACGAAACATCCGACGCAATTATTAGCTGAGATGTTTACTCCCGGCGTCCATTAATCTTTTACGCGAAGCGAATAAGCCGGCTGTAAATCCTAGCACTTAGCAAACTTTGTTTGGTGCGGTACTAAGTTAGAGTTCATTAGGCAAACATTTCATTCATCGGAGCTTTTTGGAGTACCGATATGTACAGATAGCAGTAGTTCCCGGATGCCTTGTTAGAGCGGGCTAATCTACTTAATATACTGGGTAATAATGATTACATTAACTACAAGCTTTAAACTAGTCAGAAAGATGTAATTTTGAATAACGGTTTAGTTTATAATTATGCATATGTTAAAGAAGGATTTTTGGAATATTCGACTTTCATGGGGGGAAATAGGAGGAGGAATTTTGTATAAAAGCTGAAGACTAAAATCATCTCCATGAATTATTGACACCTAAAGCTGTTTCGGGGTTCCACGCTAAAAATCAAACGTGAGGACTGAGCTACTTAATAAATAAATAATAATAAATAAATATTTCAGCATATATTCTTACACAACGTTATATAATCACAAACTAAACAAAGCTTGTACTATGGATACTAGGTAACTGATAAACATACTTAAACGTTCTTTTTGTAAATCAATACTTATATTATAGATATATAAGCACCTATACACTAGAAAAAGACTATGTTCGTCACACAAGTAGTCTTCCAGTAGTGGGCATCGAACTCAACGTCTCGTTCACAACAGACTGGTCCACTACGCCAATCGCGTATTCAATAAATTAAATGAATCCGATCTACCTCCATGCTCCACCAATGTGCCCGTATAGCCGGCTGCCTGAATTAAGCTGGTTTTAATCAAAACACCGCCCGTTCTATCTGTAACTGCTAATTGAGGATACACGCCGCGTCCACTACGACATTTGAAAGGATTATACCCAATTTCCTATTTGCCATCTTAATCCTTGTTCCTTCTCTTGTTTTACTAGATAAACTTAATAAG